GTCAGAAAGCACAGAAGCTGGACCTCTCCCAGGACCCTGCAGAGATGCCTCGATAAATTGCTAGGTGAGCTTGCTTTTAGGAAAATTGTAAATATATAATACTCTTTTATCAGAAGATAAAAATTATGTATCCCAAATATTTTCTTTTTGTCATCACTTTTGAGACACTCAGTTCCCAATGACAGGACTAGCTCTTCCTGTTTGTCTGGCACCACTGACACCGCTTCCTCCTTCGTTTAGACAAGTAAGATGGGTCTGACCAGCTTGGCTTACAGCAAGTGAAACTCTAGGTCTAAAATAGTGTAAGTTAATCCTGGCCTCCAGTATGAATTTCATATTTCAAATCCTTTTCCTTTTCCCCTTTCTCATAAGTGCGCTGACCGCCGGGTGAGCCCGGAGCCTTACCGGGGCGTGCTGATCCATCAGGTAGGCGCCGTGGCCCTGGCTGACGGCCTCGCGGTATTCCCGCCGGGCTTCCTCCTTCTCCTTAACCTGGAAAGGATTATTTTAAAACCACTCCATATGAAGAGTGATTCCAGACTTTAATAAGGAAAATTACATCAATGGTTATGAAAACCTAGGCAAAAATGGAAAACTAAGAGTCTATATAAATGGAAACATACAAAGTGATCATCGAAATGTACTAATACTGATAAGAATCTGAACCAGAAAAGGCCAGCTAAAGAGAATTCTCTTTAGGTTGGGACCAAAATATTTCAGAGTCAATAGTGGGAAAAAAATGTTTGGTTGGGACTTTATGTTAAACAAAAAAATGATGAAGTTTATTTTCAGTTTAATAAATTGTGGGTTATGATTACAACTGTGTGAGCCAACCCTTGGAATAAACAAAGAGTGAGTCAACTGTTATTTCTTTGGGTATAATCTGTTTTTGGAAAGCTACAACAGTCTTCAGTTTGACTTTTATAGCTGGGTGGAAGGATCAGCTTTTGCAAAAATATGTAAGGGTCTCACCAATTTTCCAATGTGCTTCTCTTAAACTTTTGATATTGAAATCTCTCTTTTTTGAAGATCCCACGCAAAGAATTTGCAAGAGGCTGACAATGAAGACTGGATGGGTAGGGGCAGAAAGCAGCTCATCCGGTAGGAGTGTCTGGGTGGGGACTAACTATGTAACAGTTGGTTCTTCAAAGATTACTCTTGTTTTGTGATAAGTATGATAAGGCCGCCACTCAACCTTATAGCCATGGAGACTCGGAAAACAAAGATTTGGGTAAACAGGAAACCGACTCTGAAAGCCAAGAGGGGTCACGATGCTTTTCTCTCCTCACCTCTCCTACTATGTGCTTCCCGTTGATGAAGGCCTCAAAGCCACATACAGCCGCCTTCTCATCCAAAGGAAAGATGTATTTCGCCTCAATGGGCACAGGACTTTGATTTCTGTACGTCTGAAAAACAACGACCTGAAAGAGGGAAGAATGCACATATTCGATGAGCCCATATGGGAGAACATTTGCAGGAACAATGACTAATTAAAACAATTTTGCATATTTGTATTAAATTTCTTCCAATTTAATCGCATCCCTCAAATTTCCCAACCCTGGCTGCGGGGATTAGCACATTCCACCTGGGCAAGGTCGAGTCCACAGCACGTGGTAAAATGCGTCGGCTGCAATATTTAGGCAGTTCAGACACGTCGCACTGGAATATAAGTCACCTGAAGTCACATGAACACTGACTGAGCAGAGATAACGCAGCTCCTGTTGAGACAGCTGGAAAAACAGCCCCTCTCAGGGTTCGATACCTCCTCAGTGTCGCGTGGGCTGGAAACTATTCCAGAAAAGTCCTTCTATCCGATCTGCGTTCAGGTCTTGGCATTTCCTCCTGGAGGTGTCTCTGTGGCCTTCCCCTCTCCACACAGCCCTCTGGTGGTTTCTCCTCATCTCTTCCTTCCTCGGTCTTCCAGAATCAAGTTTCTTCCACTCCTTAATTCCTGTCTGTCATCTATTGTTTTCCGACTGATCTTTCTGACGGACTGGTATTCATTACATCACCCCTTGCTCAGGAAAAGGCAGGAAGCTTTAAATATTTGAAAGTTAAAAAAAAAAACACGCCAACCTCAGACACATAATGAACAGTAAAATTTTAATCAAGTGACAATAACAAGACAAAAATATTTAACAATTTGTAATCAGTAATGTCTGGGAAGAGACCAAAATGAAAATTAAAAAAAAGATAACTTATTCAAAAATGTTGTCCACGCCTGGATTTACCATAAGCTGGGCTGCCCCCAGGGGTGAAGGGTGACAGGCAAAATATTTCGAGGGGCTCCTATTAATATTAGCAATTTGAGTCTTCCCCAATCAGCAGGTCAGTGTCCTCCTGGACACCCAATCTCTTGCCATCCTGCAAGTGAACCCCTCCCTGGCCAGCAGGAGTGAGCCCTGGAATCAGGGTCTGGCCACCACCCAAGATGACGCAGACGCAGGAGTCCTGGCGTTTCTTAACGATCTGGGCGACGCTGCACGTGTGGCAGAAGGTGGGAGAGCACCGGCAGGGAGGCACCGGGTGCCACACGGAACGCGAGTCCTCCCTCGGATTCCCATGGTTTTATCAACCCCTCCACGGCACGCAGGCTTGCCCTGCATGTGAGGAACAGGATCGCCACCTAGTCGTGCTTGCTGTGGGCTAATGTTTCTCCCACTCGGTGGGTGTCGGGCCGAGGCTCATCTCTGCGTGTGAGTTCCCAGGGGCCAGGCCCGTGTCAGCTTCATTCTCTTTGCAGATCGCGTCTGTGTGTGACTGGGCACTCAGAAAGTCAGCAATTTTAGATGATGATAAGAGTATTTTTACCAGGACTGAGAACACAAACGAATACGCTGTAAAAAATGTGGCATCTTGGCCGGGCACGGTGGCTCACGCCTGTAATCCTAGCACTCTGGGAGGCCGAGGCGGGAGGATTGCTTGAGCTCAGGAGTTCGAGACCAGCCTGAGCAAGAGCGAGACCCTGTCTCTACTAAAAATAGAAAGAAATTAATTGGACAACTAAAAATATAGAAAAAATTAGCCGGGCATGGTGGTGCATGCCTGTACTTCCAGCTACTCGGGAGGCTGAGGCAGAAGGATCGCTTGAGCCCAGGAGTTTGAGGTTGCTGTGAGCTAGGCTGATGCCACGGCGCTCACTCTAGCCTGGGCAAAAGAGTGAGACTCTGTCTCAAAAAAAAAAAAAGTGGCATCTTAATTTTCTTCCGCTAGAAAGAATTGCCTTGGGATACTCAAGGGCGATGTACAAGCCACCCATCTCACTGTAAACCAGTGAGGAATTAACCAAATCACGAGCTATCTGGGGGGCAAACTTCCCCAGAGAACAGGCCTCTTCAGGTTTGAAGTATCAAATTGGTGCCAGCTGTCTCATCCAAAGTAGGACACAGAGGACAGATGCCTTCACTGTGACATCACCATGATTTGTTTTGCTTGTGAAAAAAAATGCCTTAGATCTTTTATATTCATTACATTAATATCTAGTAGCCACTTATGGGTAGATATTATTATTTTACACGAGGAAACTGAGGCACAAAGAAGTTAAATAACTTCCCAAGGTCACAGCGCTAGAAAAGACTGAGCAAGGATCCAAAGCCAAGCCTGGAACCCCGAATCCTCTGCTCTGTACAGTCTGTGCCGCGTCGCACTACGGAGTGTGGTCAAGAACCTGGATGCTGGAATCAGAATGACCTGCGTTCAGATTTGGGCTTTACCTTATTATCTTATTTACCATAAAATGTCCTGAGCCTCAGCTTCCTCATCCAAACAGTGGGCATAATCACAGCTCAGAGTTTGGGAAAAATTAAATGCTGCATGTGAAAAACAACCCAGGGCCTGATTGTAGGTTACAGCTACTAAATGGCTCCAGAGGGGTTGGCAGATCTAGAACATTCCCAGGAGGCCACATCCAGGTCTCCCACAGGCTGCGACCCTGCCCTGAGCTCCCTCAGCGGTGTGGGTACGATCCCAGCGGCCCAGGCAGGGTGGCCGGCTGCATCCAAACTGCTCTTCCTCACCCCCACCCCATTTCCCCAGATTAAGGTGATCACCGAGTGAACCCACCTTCCCTCTAAAGGGCTGAGAACATCACAGAACTGGACTCCGATGTTCTTATTCTCCTAAGATCCTTCATAGTTGTTCAAGGCAATCCTTAGTGTTGGGGCTGATGATGAGGTCAAATCTCAGCAAACCAATTCAGTTGTGGAAAACTGGGAACTTTCCAAGCCCCAGCACCAGGCCACCTGGCTGCACGTGTGCCCCTGCCTCTGCCTGCTGTCCTGTGACCTCGGACAACCAGCTGCAAGCCCCTGGTGCCGCCTGGCTCAGGACAGAGCGAGCGTTAGATCACCCTCCTGCCTGCAGGACAGAGCTCCGGCGGATTCCGTCAGCTTTTCCCTCCTGCATCTGCTCACACACACGCTATTGTTTCTCAAGTCTTAAAACAGAAAACACTCAGCCCCTCTTCTCTTTGGCCGCTGTCATTTCCTCTCCCATCTCCCAATTCTTTCCTCCCATTCTTTGCCGAACTCACTTGGATCAGACATTCCCCCCACCACTCCACCAAAAACGTCACCAATGACCTCCTCATCGCTAAATCCAGGGGTCGGGTCTCAGTCTTCCGCATGTTGCCTTCTCTTCTCTCTGTGCTGGTTCTCTTGGTGAGTTAATCTTCTCATGGGGAGTTAACCTGGGCTCACGACTCCAAACGGCATCCGAAGGGGACTCCCCATTGCAAGTCCAGCCTGGGTCTCTTCCCTGAACTTAGACTCCCACATCCAATGGCCTAGTGGCCTTTCCATCGTGATGTCCAGTGTAGATGTCTTGCATTCGTGTGGCCAGAGATGAACTCCTTGCAGCCCCCAGCCCCTTCCCCACATCAGCAACAGCAAACGTGATCCTTCTGGCTGCTCAGGGCACAAACCTTGGCCATCCTTGACCACCGTCTTCTTCCCACGTTCCATCAGCAAATCCTACTGGTTCTGCCTTCAGCCCTTTGCCGGAATCTGTCACTTCCTACACCCCCACTGCTAACGTTCTTGTCCAAGTTGCCATCGGCCTTGACCGAGCCCCAGCAACCGTCCCTGTACGTGATGCCGTGGTGTGCCCCAATGCCCCCTTGAGGACTGAGACTGCCAGAAGCAGCGCCTGTGGAGCCCCTCCCCAGAAACTGTCCTCGGCCAAAGACGGGCTGCCTCAGCCACGGTTCTGACCCCTCCCCGGGGCAGCCCAAGTGCAGGACGGGCCCCTGTAGGCGTACAAAGCCCAGCGCTCTCGTCAGAACATCTCAGAAGGGCCGCGCTGGCCAAGAGACGCCCCCGAAGGCATCACAGTTGAATGTCTCCTCGGCTGGGGCCTGCCGCCCTCGCTCCCGTGCAGGTGCTGCCCCCGAAGCACTGTCCAACCAGCTTCCCGAAAATGAACTCCCAGCCAGAGTCTGTCTTCCAGGGAACTTGACCTGAGATGTCTCCTAACTGGTCCTCTTGTGACCTTTCTCCACAGGTCGGCCAGAGTGAGCTGTTAAAACAGGTCTCATCACACTGCTCCTCTGCCAAACATCTCCCAGAAGCTTCCATTTCACTTGGAGTCAAGGACAGCATGTCCTGTGTCCTGACGAGAGCCTCCCCCACCTCCCCGACCCAGTTCCCTTCCACTGTATCCCTTCCCACTCTGCTCCAGCCACAGCGGCCTCCTTGGTGTCCCCTGGCCACACCTGGCTCCCACCTCAGGGCCTTTGCATATGCTGTTCCCTCTGCCTGGAACGAGTGTCCCCTGAGGTCCACACGGTTTAGCCCTGACTTCCTTCAGGGCTGTAGGCAGCTGTCGCCTTCTCAGTGAGGCCTCCGCAGCTGCTCAACTCGCAGGTTAAAACCCCCCTTCCTGTGCAGCGCCTACCCCACCCGCTTTGACTTTTGTCTTTAGCACCTGTCCTCACCTAACACGTCGTGTGTTTCACTCATTTATCACGTTTATTGTCTATTCCCTCCACGTGCTTCACAAGGGCAGAGCTTTTGTACTGTTCCCTGCGGGTGCCCAGAGCCTGGGACAGTCCCTGGCATGTGGCACTCAGGGAATATCTGATGAATACGTGAACTTTAGAAATGTAGATATTAATATTTTCTTTAGTTCATGTAACTGCAATTAAATTCTCCCTTATGATTTACATCCATTTAATTTAAGTATCATAAGGCCACCAAGAACATACCTGGGCTACGAAGTCTATTATTCGCCCCTTGATGCAGACATCCTTGAGGGGAACCAGGTTCCCAGAGCGATCCTGCAGGCCGGCCCTGATGTCGCTGGGAGGTTTGGTGTCTGGTAACTGGTAATCTGCATTACACAAGTTACTGTTAGCTTTGAAAACCACCCTGACTGTCTCTTTTGTTATCCTGGTCTTTATTCCTCATCCATCTCCTTATATATTATATGTTAGGGAAGATGAACAAATAGCATTTTATAATCTTCAATAGCCAATTCTGAAAAGGAACCCACATGAGAAAAATGGAGGGATGCAATCTCAAAGACACTTTTGCCTTTTTAATCTAGACGCTCTGAGGCATTATGTTAAAAACCCACAATTGGCCGGGCGCGGTGGCTCACGCCTGTAATCCTAGCTCTCTGGGAGGCCGAGGCGGGCGGATTGTTTGAGCTCAGGAGTTCGAAACCAGCCTGAGCAAGAGCGAGACCCCGTCTCTACTAAAAATAGAAAGAAATTAATCGGACAACTAAAAATATATCTAGAAAAAATTAGCCAGGCATGGTGGTGCATGCCTGTAGTCCCAGCTACTCAGGAGGCTAAGGCAGGAGGATCACTTGAGCCCAGGAGTTTGAGGTTGCTGTGAGCTAGGCTGACGCCATGGCACTCTAGCCGGGGCAACACAGTGAGACTCTGTAAAAAAAAAAAAAAAAAAAAAAAAAAAACCCACAATTATGCTATCACTTGAAAGACAAACATTTAAACGTACACACAAGTACACAGAGGTCTCAAGACTATCTCAGTAAGCTCAGCTGGAACATGAAGGTAGCTATTTGCATTGCCTGGCTTGCAATGGGGACACGGCCGGTCACTATTATTAACTGTGCCACAAAAGCATTTTGGAGCAATATGAAACTACCTAGATTTTCAACCCAATGAAGACTAAATCAAACGCCTACAACACATTGAAAAATGTTCATATCCTACACTAAGAGGCACAAAAATACAGACATGGATAAATATATAAACACACAATGTCTTGCCAGATATTTAATGACTCCCAGACAAAAAATTGGAGTCATCTCCTTGAACATACATGAACTCATACGTTTCTGATAAAAAACAATTTGATCACAGTCAAAAACGTTAATGTGATTTTCCAGTCCTATTAATATTAATTCCTATCACAACAGTTTGGGCCCATGATTCTCTGAACTATCACCCTCTCATATGCTTGTACTACTATTACTAACACACAAGCCACACATGATAACTGACAGAGAACCTCCACGTTCCCCTTCAATCCATGTGGGTACTGCTCTCAACCTACCTGAGAGAAGGTGAAACTCAGAAGGTCATGTGGTTTGTCCAAGATCTCAGAGCTGATGAGGTGGCAAGGTGACCCCAAACCTCCTGGGCTTCCTGACTCTACGGCTGGGCCGGATGTCCATTCTACTGACCATGCAGGGTGGGGAACCTGCGGCCTTGGGGCCATGTGTGGCCTCCTGAATCCTTGAGTGAGGCCTTTTGACTGAATCCAAATTTTACACAACAAATCCTTTTTTTTTTTTTGAGACAAGAGTCTCACTCTGTTGCCCCAGCTAGAGTGCCATGGCGTCAGCCTAGCTCACAGCAACCTCAAACCCCTGGGCTCAAGCGATCCTCCTGTCTCAGCCTCCCGAGTAGCTGGGACTACAGGCACGAGCCACCATGCCCGGCTAATTTTTTTGTATTTTTAGTTGTTTGGCTAATTTCTTTCTATTTATAGTAGAGATGGGGTCTCGCTCTTGCTCAGTCTGATCTCAAACTCCTGACCTCGAGCGATCCTCCCGCCTTGGCCTCCCAGAGTGTTAGGATTACAGGCGTGAGCCACCGCACCCAGCCCACAACAAATCCTTTTAATAAAGGATTTTTTCTGTGAAGTCTGGATTTAGATGAGGGGCTACATTTGGGGATCTGGAGGGCCACATGTGGCCTTGAGGCTGCAGGCTCCCCACCCCTGCTTGGCTATTCCCGAGGAGAACAAGCTCAACTTTGGTGTGTTAACGAAGTAACGTGGAATTCTGAGATCATTTAACCTTTCTCAAGCATCCCGGTTTTACGGAATACAAAATAAAAAAGGAAATGAAATATTTATCTATGAGGTGTACTTACCAAACATGAATATAAATTCCATTGAAAATAAAGTTCTATAAATAAAATCACATAAAATTGCATTCAAGAGAATTGCCCTACCTTCAACCTTTGAAAAATCTGAAAACTCAGGTCTGTGTTCCTCTAACTCAGTATTATCCGGAGGATGAAAGTCCTTTATTTGATCTCCAGGCATGCAAAATTTAACAACGTATTTCATTTTAACCTGATTGGTTTTATAGACAACAAATTCATCATCCTAGAGCAAACAGAAATTAATAGGTGGTTAGAAACAACAACAACAAACCTTTGTTGGCAGATGTTCCCGTAAAGGCATGCTTGCTGATTTAGAAAATACTGAATTCAGGCAATAGATGTACAATGATTATGTAAACTTCAGCATATTTAATGAAAACAGGAGCAAAAAACTGAGGCTGTTCTTTGGGCATTCAGGACCCTTTCTGCCTGTTTCTTGATATAAAGATACCTCAAAGTCTGTGGAGACAGAGGCGGTCTCTGAAACTCCGTGCACACTGTCGTAGCCTGCTGGTGCTTCAGTCAAGGAAGAGTCCTTCTTGTGCAAGTCCAAACACTTTCCCAGGGCCACGTCACAAACCACCAGGAGCCTGCTGCCGTCTGTCTCCCCCGGGTGTGAATACTTAACACTTGTGCTGTATGTCAAAGGCAATAAGCACATATTTACAACTTACAGTTACCTGTTAGTGACACTTTATTGCATAAACAGGAAATATTGTTGAAAAGACTTTCTGGCAGGCCATTCCAAATGTTAACTGTTATTAAAATATCTCCAAGATTCAATTTAAAAGTTTATTACGCACGTATTTACTTAAAATTTTTACGTAACGAACATGTATATCGCCCTTACGCTCTGCCAGGCAGTACTCAAAGCACTTTGTCCCCAGAGACGGATGAATTCTACTGTTGCCTCAAATCTTTGTTAAAGATTTGTAAACTACACACATTTTGCTATCATAAATACCAGCATGGTTAAAGAAAAGAAAAGAACCCCCTACCTTACTAATCAGGAAAAAGTAGATTTAATTCTCTGCACTAAAGCTCAGAAAGAGCTTGGTGTTTTCATTAAATGCCAGGTGAGTGAGAACTGGTCAAAGGGACAGACGTGCACTGTACTCCCACAAACACTCCGGAAACCACACGGAAAAGTAAGAATTCCAAACGATACCCAAATGAGAGACGCTGTTTCACCTTTCTTTGGCAATCAGCAAGTTTAATAAAGCAACTTTTGCTAGTAGCATTAGGAGCACAGGTGAGTACACAGCCTTGAGGGGGCAACATTTTTGGGACACACCTTTATTTTCTTTTAAAGATCAAGTCCAAAATGTAAAACGGTTGCTGTAGGACCCTTCTTTGTTCCACCTCCTAAGACTTGCACTTAAAAAAAAAACAAAACCAAAAAAAACTTCCCCCATTTCTCCTGTAGCCCCCTCCCCTCTGGGGGCTCTCTCCTTGCAACTTACAAGCGTGCGTCCTTCCTCCTCCTCAAGCCCAACCCTGGACTTGGTCCTGGGGCTCCCGCCCCGTCTACCTCTTTCCTCTCGCACCACCTCTCGGCGGGGGTCCGGTACGGTCTCTTCTTGCCCAGTCCTCTGCGGTTTGGCTCAATTCACGTCTCTCCACTAAAGCCACTCTACTGGAAGTCACCGAGGACTTCAATTTTCTTAAAATCGCTGAGTGCCAATCTGTTTTTTAAAAAATATCGTAACATCTAAAAAAATTTTTACTTTGAAATAGCTCGTACGTAGGAAAGAGCATTTATATGATAGACGTTTAAGGAATAATAAGACACAGGAGGGAGGCAAGATGGCGGATGAGAAAAACCTCCAGCCAGAGCGTCTCTGCCAGAAGGAGAAATTTTAGATGAAAGAGAAAAAACAGACAAACATAGACAGGATGAGGGTCGGAAGGAAGCGTGCCCGAACCTACAGGAGACACCATGGGAGGGGGCTGCGGAGCAGAACTGGAAGGAGAAAGGCTTCGGCAGGGATTCAGCCCCGCGGGGCTCGGAGACCAGCGGGAAGGGCAGGTGGAGCGGTCAACCTCCCCTCCCTTGCATCTCGGACTGCTGGTGGCTCCCGAGCTGCTGCAGAGACCTGCCGACACCAGCCGAGAGACTGCTGCTGCCAGCGAGCGGTGGCCTCTTGTGGACAGGGCACCTCCCGCCCCACAGACCCAAGCAGGTCGGCAGGCGCCATATTGCTTCCCTACCCACTGGGCACTTCTGGGGCCTCAACTCCGCAGGCTTCGTCTTGGTCGTCCCCACGCAGACATTTCCCAACTCCAGCCCAGACTGTGGGAGCCCCAGGGGTCCAGTGGGCTCCAGGAGATCTGCAGGACTCCAGAGCCCAGTCATTGGGGGGGGTCTGCCTCCCGGAGACAGGGCTGGAGACTTCCGGTGTGCAGCCCTTCCTGCACCTAGTCCTGCTTTCTCCCCTTCCCTTCCCTTCCCCCACCCGTGGCTGCTGAGAGACATGATTTGGCCACCACCCAGAGGCATCCACAGGGAATGGGGCTCAGACCTTTCCTTTTGGGGCCCTGCAGTGGACTGAGGGGTGCTCCGACTGTGAGCTCTACCTGCCGGCCCTTCCTGGTGCTGCTTGCCCGGTGACTCCAGCAGAGCGGGACAAACCCCAAGGCAGAGGGATATCGATCTAGCTTGGGCACCCCGTGGGTGACTTGGGACCAGCATTCTTCTCCCTGGCATGGTCGGGGATTGATCTCTGGGGCCGGGGGACAGGCCTGCAGGCCAGACCCATACACCCAGGTCTCGATCTCAATGCCTGGGGGCACAGAGGGGATATTCGTGAATTAGTCTACTGGGGTGTGTGTGACCTCAGGGGCAGGTCAGAGTGGGTCCCAGCTGCATTGTGCTTGTGGGGCACCCCTCCTCCTATGGGAGGGCTAAGGTCCCAGCTCAGGCCGGGATCCTGGGTAGGGAACCTCCCAGGCTGTGTCACAGTCGTGGGGGAGCTCAGCTGGCTTGAGGTCCTGCCTGCCAGCAGAGGCCCTGGAGAAACCTCAGAATAGAGGAGGGTGGAAAGGAGAGGCCGGCTCCAGGCTGCCAAACTGCAGGTCTCAGACAGCCCCACCCCCACATGCAGACTTTCTGGTCAAGGTCAGCTCCCTGGGAGCTTTGGCCAGAGGCAGGGAACAGACCTTTGACCCCCCTGCTAAGAGCATTTGTGGAGCTTGAGGGCAGGCCCATCCAACCCAGCCCCGCCCAGCCTCACTCCCACAACTGCTCCCACCTGAGGTGCAGAATAAGGACATACCTGGAAGTCCCAGGGCCCCACCCACCACCTGAGGCACTAGAGTTTCTCTCCAGAGGAAAAAGAGATGGTTACAGGACCCCAAAACAACACTGCAGCAGCTTGCTCCTCCCAGCAAGCGCCACCTACTGACAGGGAGGTCACTCTGCATGTCTTTTTACTGCATCTACTGACTCATCACACAGGGTGTGGTCGAATCTCACCCACAAACACATCTACTGGCTCAGAGACTAAACTGGGTGTGTCACTGTGTAAACGAAAATCCAAAGGTAAGAAGCAACAGTTGCTCCAGATGGGAAGGAATCAGCGAAAGAAATCCGGAAGTATGAAGAATCAAACTGAAAGCACACTCCCAAAGGGGAACACCAGCTCTCTCGCAATGGATGCCAACCAAAATCAGAACACTAAAATGACAGAAGAATTTCCGACATGGACTGTAAGAAAACTCAATGAAATGCAAGAAAAAATGGTTACCCAACAAAAGAAACCACAAAAAAATCCAGGAAATGGAAGAAAAATTCCCTAAAGAAATTGAAATATTAAAGAAAAATCAAACACAACTTCCAGAAATGAAGAATTTATTCAAGGAATTACAAAACACAGTGGAAAGCCTCAAGAATAGGGTAGATCAAGCAGAAGAAAGAATCTCAGAGATTAAGACAACACCTTCCAATCAAACAAGTCAGTTGCAGAGATAGAGCAGAGAAATAAGAGAAAAGAGCAAAGCTTACAAGAAATGTGGGATTATGTGAAAAGGCCTAACATAAGAATCATAGGCATCGCTGAGGGTGAAGAAGAAAATATTCAAGGGTTGGAAACACTATTTGAGGATATAATGGAGGAAAATTTCCCTGGCCTTGCTAGAAATCTAGATATCCAGGTACAAGAAGCTCAAAGGACTCCTGGGAGAGTCATTGCAAACAGGAAGATACCACGACACATAGTCATCAGACTGGCCAAAATGAACACGAAAGAGGCCCTCCTATGAGCCGTAAGGAGAAAGCAGCAGGTAACCTACAAAGGAAAACCCATCAGACTAACTGCTCGTAACTTCTCAACTGAGACCTTACAAGCCAGAAGGGACTGGGGCCCCATTCTCAGTCTTCTCAAACAGAATAATTCCCAGCCTAGAAGTTTGTATCCTGCAAAACTAAGTTTCTTATATGAAGGAGAAATAAAGACCTTCTCAGATAAGCAAAGACTGAGGGAATTCATCAAGACAAGACCTTACCTCCAGGAAGTACTCAGTAATATGAAATTAAAAAAAATAATAATAAAAGAAATAAAAAGAGGAGAGACAGGTCATAGGAGGCCAAAGAAGATTCTACAAAGTGAGGATGAGAATGCCTACTTCACAGCAGCTGGCATTGTGAGAAACAAGTTATACAGTGTACATGAAAGTGCTTTTGGAATAAATGCTCCCCTGTGTTCCCAGAAGAAAAAAAAATAAGACAAAAACACCCATGCAGCTACCGCCCAGCTTAAGAACTAGAACATCCCAGTACTTTCATGCTCCCTGATGACATTACCTTCTCTCCCACCCAGAGCTAATCTAACCACTGTCTTGATTTTTGTGTATATTATTTTCTTTCTTTTATAGTATTGATACACAACAATGTGTGTATGTGTCCCTCAACAATGAAATGTACAGTTTGGTTTCTTTCTGAACTTTGCTTACACATAGAATTGTACAGTGATTTTTGGTCCATGCTCCTAAGGCTCGTCCAATGACACATGTAGCTGTTGTCCCGTTCCATCTTCAGCACAGGACTCCAGGCAGGACTCCACCAACATTTACCGATCGGTTCTACTGTTGACGGACACTGGCAGCACTTCCAGTGTCCGTGATTACAGTGTTCTCAATCACCCTGTGCATGTCTCTGGTATACATGTTCTAGAGCTTTTCTAGGGTAGCGACTCCTAAGCCTGGCTGCACACCGAAATCACCCAGGGAGCTTAAGAACTACCGATAGGCAATCCTCGCCACAGGAGATCCTGACTTCGCTGCTGTGGGGTGAGACTGGCGCCAGCAGTGCGTCAAGCTCGCCCGGGGATCTGTGCGCAGGCAGCACTGACAGCCACTGCGTCCTGGCCCTCAGGCCGATGAGCAGGACTCCTGGGCCACAGCTGTACCAGATGAGCCAGCACTTTCAAGAGGGTTTATCAATTCACACTCTTACCAGCAGCGTTTGAGAGTTCAGATTGTTCTAGAGATTCACCCACGCCCAGAGATGTGAAACTCGTTTTTTATTTTTGTCAATCTGCTAGGGTGAAATGGTACCCCCTCATGGTTTAATTTGCATGGTTTTGATGACTAATCTTTTCAAACATTATTATCCATTTATGTTTCCTCTTCTATTAGGTTTCCATTCACGTCTTTTGCCCATTTGCTTATAGGGTTTTTCATCCTTTTCTTATTATTTGTAGGAAGGCTTTAAACATCCTGGATAATTATCCTTTGTCCTGGACCGAACCCAGACTCCAGCCCTTACCTAGCCCTGCAATGCTGGGCACGTTACACAGCCTCCCTGAGTCTGTTTCCTTTCATAAAATGACGTCACCATACCAACGGTGAGGTTGACAGGAGATGCACCTACAGCCCCTCACCTGGTGCCCAGCACAGGTGGGCACTCAACACATTGTGACAGGGCAGATTTAAATACTAGCAAGGATACCGAAGAAGAAACAGTACTCCAGGCATGTCGAGGTCACATATAAAAGAACTGTTTAGAGGAGAGCCCTGTGCCGCAGAAGTTAAGACTGCTGTCTCTGGACAGGGCCTGACTGGAAAGCTGAGTCCTGCCCACGTCCTATGTTAGCTGCACGACCCGAGGCACGATACCCTCACCAGCCCTCAGTGTTCCCATCTGTAATCTGGGGATGACGATAGGACTTACCTTGGGGGGATGTTGTAAGGACTCAGTGAGAAAATATATGTAAAAACTCTAGGAGAGTAAAATCACTAAGATGATTTCAAATATAATTTTCCCCAATATTTACCACAAAAGACATGCTTCTACAGCATATTGAGAAAACCGGTTGCTTTCAGTGAATTTTTTAGGGTGATAAACTCCCTTACCAAGCAAAGACACAGGAAAACACACAGCAAGCACTCAGTAACGATGCCTGGATCACGGACAGAACATACCTGAGTGAGTCACCGAAATAAATCCCACTCCCAAGATTTCCAATGTCTGTTCTTTTCACGCCACGATCTTCAACTACTTTGGGTAAAAGCAACCCTCTAAAAAGAAAAGGAAATTTTAACGATCAACTAGAAAAAAAGGAATCTTTTATTATAGTCTTGTAATTCTAGCAGAGGCAGCTACTATTTTAAAAAAAAGCATAAAATGAAAAGAAAAACACATTTTAAAGTAATCCCCCAGAGAAGCTCTGGGTGCCACTGAGATGTCACAGGCTGAGGCCCAGTGCAGTGGCACAGGCCCGTAACCCCAGCACTTTGGCAGGCTGAGGTGGGAGGATGGCTGGAGCCCAGGAGTTCGAGGTTACAGTGAGCTATGATTGCGCCATTGCACTCCAGCCGGGGTGGCAGAAGGAGACCCTGTCTGTAACAATAATAATAATAAAAAGTCACAAGCTGCAGCCAGTGTCTCATCACCGTCTGGACCAGCCCAGGGCTGCCAGCCCTATTTCCTGCACCCTCCAGGCCCAGGCTGAGGCCCCAGTGCACAGCGGGGTGAGGCGTCAGCTCAAAGCTGACTGCATCTCTCCCCAGCTCAGAAACTGCCGCAGAAAACTCCTTGCAAGCAAAGAGAAACCGTGGTTATTTCTCGGAAGGTGGGTAAAGGAAGATTTCTGCCTTTTATTATACAAACATCTATTGTTTGTGGCTTCTTTTTTTATAGATTAGTTCAAGGAAAATTGGCATCCTTCTAGTTAATGCAATTTGTATTTTGGGTCCTTTAAAAGCAGCTTAAAGTTTTTTCCAGAGGGGTTTATTATAGATTTTCTTTTAAGTACTTAATTAAAGTATCTAATTTAATCATATTTTCCCCTGTCCCTGTGACCTCAGTTTCAGCTCTAATATTAAGTGATTATTCAAAGCAAGCAGAAAATTAGAGTTATGTTTTGAATAAATAACTGACACCATCTGGGAACTCTAATTTCTAGAACTTTCTCTTTAAATATTGGGCTGTCCCTGGATTAGACACACATGGAAGATTCATGAAATATAGAAACACTTTTCTTCATATGATACAGTCTTCAAGAAGCTACTCATACTCATGTACTACACATTAAAAAATAATAAATACATAATTTAAATTACATACTTAAAGTATGTAATTAGTATGTGATTTTCTCCAGAATGCAATAAGCTGGCTGATTTTAACTGAAAAAACTTATGTAATACAGAAAAAAGTAGGAAAAAATAGTAGAACACTTTGCGTTTGTGAGGCTGAAAATTCTGAAGGATAAAGACGGCCTTCGCGTACCGAGACAGGATTCCTACGACGTTCCGCACCGGGCAGCCATGCAACAAGGGCCGCACGTTGCCAAGTCCGCTCAGAAACTCTGTCATTTCGTTCACTCTCCCAACTCTAAATATCTCCAAGATTTCCACTGGACTCGTACTGTAAGAATTAGAAGAAAAACCGTGAGATTACGTAATAGGAAGCAAAACAAAAAACCATTATTAGCAGAAGATATCCTTAAATAATCCAGATGTCCATTATCAGGGAACAGATTCAATGAATTACAGCACAACACATCTTGGAAATACTACGCAGCTATTAAAAAATCACATTCCTAAAAAATAAATAAGGATATGAAGTAAAGCTTACAGTAAAATATAAAATTTATAAGCAGACTACACAACTTTATACATAATATCTCAAATTTTGTCAACTATGTAATATATAGAATATATAGTTTCATGCATACAGATGTGACAACAGCGTAAATGGGTTCATTCATTCATTCATTCATGCATCCACTGAGCAAACCATCTGTGCCGAATACTCCGCCAGGCATTAGAAATAAGACAACATGGGCTCTGGCTTCATGGAACTTACATTCTAATGAGAGAGACAAAAATTAAGAAGCTATCAAATACCTTATTTTGAGCACTACTAAGGAAACCAACCAGGTTCACAGGGAGGGTGGTCAAGGAAGGGCTCTCTCGAGAGGTGACACTTACTGGCATGTGACCCAATACAATGTATGTTTTAAGACCTAACTGGTCGTCGTGGGGAAACGCGTTGGACAGGGCAGGAGTGGAGCAGAAGGCGGGAACGTTGCTGCAGCCGAGTAGACGGGACAATGTGATCGGGACTAAAAGATGGCTGCGCGGTAAACGGCAGGAAGACAACAGACGAAGGGTGACAGAACCTGGTGACGGGGAGGCGGGGGACGAGACCCCACGGGGTGCTGCTGAGGGACGGTGCTGGGCGGGGCACGGCGGCCTAGTGCGCACGTCTTCCCAGCCCCACGCTCGGCGGTGTCGCGCTGGCACCTGACATTCCGCGGTGGGAGTATTCGCGCCACAGAAATCAGCAATTGCAGGTGTGACTTTCGTCTCAGAGAGCTGGCTTCTCAGCACACCGCGGGGAGGGGGGGGAATAGACAGTTCAGTCTGGGTTGCATCCTACACCGAAATGCTAACAGGGGCCGTGTTATCTCTGGGTGGGGAGATTTTGAGGGATTTTTTAATCTTCTTCATATTTTTACATATTTTCCAAGCTTTCATCAAATAACATGAATTTTATCACTAGAAAAAAATTAATATGAATTATTAGTGAAACGAAATGGAGAAAATCTGGTTTTCCACAGCAGCAGAATCCGTCCCTAGGGAGTGGGCCGCGTTTGCTGCGTGAATACTCAAGTCCTGGCAGTGGCCGGGAGGCTCTCTGGGCGCTTGCTGGGGTGGCACTAGCTGGCTAAGCTGTCGTTGCCCCTCCCCAGGGCTCGACACAGCTCTTGCTTCCCAGCTGCCCCGGAGAAGGCCACTTATTCCCCTCCCAGTTCTACCTTCACTGTCACTGGGAAGTCACCTAGAGGTCATATCAAAAGAAATCAAAATAACCTGATGACATATAAAAACAGAATCTGGAGAAGGTGTGTAGGAATGGATTTTTTAAAACTTGAAGTGAAATTCATGTAACGTAAAGGTAACCATTAAGTGTATAATTCAGTGGTATTTGGTACAGTTGACCCTTGACCAACTCGGAACTGAACTGCAAGGGTCTACTTATATGCAAATTTTCTTTCCCCTCTCCCACCCCTGAGACGGCAAGACCAACCTCCCCTCTTCCTCCTCCTCAGCCTACTCAGCGTGAAGACCTTTACGATGATCCATTTCCACTTAATGAATGGCAAATATATTTTCTCTTCCTTACGGTTTTTTGGTAACAGTTTCTTTTTTCTAGCTTACTTTGTTGTAAGAATATAGTATATAACACATACAACATAAAATATGAGTTAATCAGCTGTTTGTGTTATCGGTAAGGTTAAACCCCAAACAACTCCAATTTGCAGCATTTGCTGACTTTCATGGTGCAAATCTTCCCACGGTAGCTGATTTCAAGCTACCAATGGTTTAACGGCCAGTACACAAAATCTCGAGAACTTTGACGGTTAGCTTCCGTAAGCTGGTGCGTGCAGCTACCACGCACCACTGCTGCACACTGCCGGGTGCCAGGCTGGTGAAACCTGGCCCGTGCTAACAAGATCTGAGATGCCAGAAATGTCCAGGAAAAGGCCTCAGGGAGGCGGAGTGCTGCAGCGGAATGAACGACCAGGTCAACGGAGTAAGTCCCATTCTCCAGCACAAGCAAGCACACGAGTTTCCGAACGTGAAGTCCGGAGTGAACTCAGCCAAGGTGACCTTCAGAGGCACTGACACACAGTCAGGGCTTGTCTGAGCAGCCGATCTGTCCCATGTGCTGTCACTGTGGAATGTGCATCAGCACAAGACTCTGGGTACACAGAGTGAGTGAGGACACAGCGCAGCTGATATTGAGGGACGCCAACTTTCTTGATGTGTTTCCAGGTTTCCGGTAAAGTTCTCCATGCCACAGAGCGGCCATGTTAGAAGATCTATACACATATTCCTGCATGTTTAGATCTTAGCTTAAGTGGATTTTCTTCTGTAATACCCTTCAAAACACAGATTCAAACACGTTTTGATTTAAAATCCCTAAATTTAATTCTCAACAAGAATAGGTAACCTTGAAATCAGAGTGGAATGGTAGGGAGTGTTTTCAAGCACAGAGTACTGCCCCAGGCTCTGTCACAAACACAGTAGACAGTAATTTGTGATCACATCATCACCACCGTACCTTGTTGCTGAGGACTAAATTATCCCGGTAATTACTGATCAGCTCTCTAACAGAATCTCAGAGAGGTCTGCAGCGTGACAGATCCCGAGACGTTTCCCTCATGCTCACCTGCGATTATTCTGCAACGCCACTTCTTTAACCCTGAAAAATTCTTCAGTGTTCTGCTCAACATGCTCAATTTTGCATCTCAAAGCCCGGTATTTGGCAAGAGATGGTGGGTTAGGTTTGGACAAGTTAGTTTCACAGACATTAACCAGGTCTCTGATTAGCTGTGGGTGGAAGTGACAGAGATGTTAGAATCATCACATATCAAAATTAATATTACATTAACACTTTCTCAAAAAGACTGAAAGAATCAGTTTTTTCCCCAACGTTTTTGATCAATATTTGCTGTTAGTCATGTACTACAGTTAATATAGTTGCCTCACCGATAGCACAATATCCGATCATGACACTAGTGTACATTACATTAGCACAGCACATTATTATTAATGCAGTGTTTCCAGATACATCACTCATTTAATCCTCACCATGACACCAAGGGAGGTCTTACTATCCTCACTGCATAGATGAGGAAAGTGTGGCTCTGAGAAGTTAGATTATTCAAGATCCCACAGCAAGGAGGGGACAACGACTGAATGAGATCCCAGGATCATGAGAGTTCAAGTCCAATTCTGCTTAAAAAATTCTTTACGTGTGCTGGTGTGCAGACGTTGTATTAGCTTGGAAAGACACAAAGATGTGTGAGACCTGGGTCCCCTCCCTGAGAGAGAACCGGAGCCTCCCTTCATCCCTTCTCAGGTCCTGGAGCCTGGGGCGGGACTGCAGCCGCGGGTGGCATGGACGACGCTGGGTCTGGGGACCTGCGGCTTTAGCATCTTTGAGAGGAGGGAGCCACTGAAGGGGGGGCGCTGGCCATTCTGCTCTGTGTGTCTTTATGACCTTGGCGTGGGTAGGGCCTTTCTAACTGTGCCTCAAACCCACCAGCCATAAAATAAAAGACTGATGCATTTTTCTACACGAAAGCAAAAAATCTTCTGTAGGGTAGAAATGAACAAGTCAGTCACCACTGCCACCAACAAAAAAAATTCACCATAAACAAGATAAAAAGACAAAGGGGGAAATACTTGCACAACTCATATCGCAGACTAAGCCCCCTAATATGTAAAGAGCTTTTAAAAATCATGAAGAAAAACAGCAAGACTCATAAGAAAAAGACGCAAAGGACAAGAATAGACAGTTCACAGAAGAAGAAACAAATGGCCCTTTGTCACCGGGAAGGTGCCCAGCCTCACAGAGAGGGGACATTTCTCACCCCTCAGATTGATGAAAGCCTAAGAGTTTGGCAAACTTGATCTCGGCGAGACTCTGGGAGATGGAAACGCTCCTCCTCAGACAGTGGGAGGGCAGACCTGCGCCGCGCTGGGGAGGGAATCGGACGGTTTCTGTCCGTCAAGCCAGCGCTGCTACTTCTGGGACCCCACCCAGGGATACGCCTGTCCAAGCACGAAGTGACAAATACACGAGGTTATTCGCTGTGGCGTGGTTTGTTGTAGCAAAATCCAGCAATAATCCAAATGCCTGGCAGTACATATATATGGCACGTCCCATGGTGGGATAGGAGAATGAGGATGATCTTCACGTATAGGATCTATTTAGAAAAGCATGATGCAGGACAGCAAGGATAGTCGAGTTATGTAAAAATGAGAATAATAAAATATTTTAATAAACATATAAAGAAACTCTGCAAAGATGAAATGAAACTAATCAAACTGGTTCCCTGTTAGAGTGGGGGATGGGAGTGGGGTGGACGGACAGGGTAGAACAGAGATTTCTCTGAGTACATCTTTTTAATATAATTTTGGCTTTTGAATCATGTAGATGTATTATCTGTTCAAAATATAAATTTCAATTAAAAAGTATTTGGTGGGCACCATGTTCCCTCTGAGCAAAACTGATGATGAGATTCTTCATGTTTAGTGTTAGGTAAATCATACAATTTTAAATTTGGAAAGGTCCTACATCTTCTCATTTACTGCTTCTCTCCTTATTTTGGATTACTGACTCCTCTGGGAATCTGTCGGAAGCTGTCATTTCTCCCAAACATGCAAAATTTCACATCCACAGACTCCTCTGGAGTCTAGGTTATGGATCCCTGACCTTGTCCCAATCCCGTCAGGCACAGATGAGGCAGTTCGGACCCCGAGAGTGACCGTGGCCTTGTCCACGGCAGGGGCGGCCACTTCCTCTCTGCTAACTGAGCCCTGCTCCTTCCAGGCAGCGAGGGGAGCTGGCCCGCTCTGAGCAGCCCCAGCAACTCCATTTTCCTCATCAGACACTGGTGCAGGATGTGCACATGACTCAGTTCTGACCAAAGAAATACGAGTCTGCCAGCGTCTTCCTCCAGGAGACACAAAAAGAAACATTCCAGGTGGGATGCTACGAACTACCGCAGTCACACACAGATGGTGAGGGGGCAGGCTGAGGGCGGAGGCCACTTTATGGGAAGCACAGGGAGATGCAAAGAGGCTGGGACCCTGATCGTAACTCTGAGTAACTGAGTCACAGGGTGACCTGGGACAGCAACCAGCCCACAGCTGGTCTTTTTAGAGTGCAGGGTCACAAATGTCCTCACTGTTTGAGTCAGTTGCAGTTTTCCATTTCTTCTCCAGAAAGAATCCTAACTAATCTCAGGGTCTGGAAAGTCATTTCACGACGCAGCAATTCGAAACACAGTTCTGCATTTGCAGCACCATGCCAACACGGTTACATTGGGAATACGGTTTAAGTAACTTACGTGTGGACCCAGAGCATTCTGAAATGGTACAATAATTTATTTTTGAGCACAAATCTGGAGACAACTCTTAATTTAATTCAGTTTTACCTTATTCATCAGATTTTTAAAGATCGCCCCCCACGTATTTTAAACATTTCAGAGGTTTACCTGGCAAAGGTCCTCTTTCTTAGCTAACAGTCCCAGGTTAACCTCTTTGGGTGCTGGAGCTTTGTGAGGTATCAGTCTGTAGAACTCAGCCATCGTCTTCTGCAACTGCTCTGCCGTCTCCCCGGTTTTCAGTGCTGCCCTTACTAGCTGGAGAATTCCCTCTGCCTTGCTCACCTTTAAACACAAGATCATACGTGCTTATTAAAGTGGAATCATGATAATCACAGAAGACGTAAAGGAAAGCCTACAAAAAATATCTAAAATAATTGTTGGACATGTCGCAACTATCCATTTTCTAGTGGACAGCCACCACAAGGCAAATGCTGATCTTTACTGGAGACATATCTCAGCTGTCTTGAGGATTCTTCCAAAACTGGGCTCAGCTTAACTAGAGGAAAGAGCCAGAGTCTTACATTTCTATACACATGTTGCCACGTATACATGTGTATATCGCATACAGAAAGAGGAGCGCTAATGCAACTCTGGGAGACGTGCTTTTCACATGAGAAATACAGACAAATGTCAGAATCAAACCAGGAGCAAAAACCTCCTGAACGTGTTTCTAATTACAAGCACTTCATGGACTTTACCCCAAGAAAACCTTTTCTCCCTGAGATAGATTAGTTTAATTCCATAGAGGAAATTTGTCTGTATTATTTTACTATGATAATGCAGTTGCACAAGTCGTACTGTTGGGGATATCTTCTTTCATTTGCTTTTTCAATTGCAATTGTACGTAATCAAGAAGAGAAGAACATTTCCTGGTGGGCCAGAAGCATGCCTGCCTTTCCTAGGACATCAGAAGGTACAAGACTGGGAAGTCACGAGGAAGTGGGTTAGGGGTCTCTAACTGGGGACCAAGACTGTCCATGTCCCTCAGGCCTCCTGCAAACCTCCTGGCCCAGAAGGTCAGGCCGGCACCAGAAGCCTACCTTTGATCAGCTCTTGGAGCTGACATTTTATAAATGGGGATGTCTAGTTTTCTCAGAAATATATGTTCTCCTTAGTGCTCTCAGTGTCCCTTTCTTCAGGGTAAAAGGAAAGAACTGTGAGGACTGAATTCCAGAGCAATCGGACCAGCATGCAAACGTCAGGGTCATTATTTAAGCTAACACGCCAGGAAGCAGGTCCGTCGTGTTCCGTTTCCACAACACACTCGACTTACATCCTTGAGGCTAATGCTGTCCACGGGCTTGCGAAGCGTGTGCTCCAGGTGGCCCAGGGCTTCCGCCCAAATCATCTCCACCAAATCGCCCACCTCTCGGCTCAGAGCGCTGGAATTTATGACCTCCTCCAAAAGCAACTGCAAAATAACAAAGAAACGCCATGAAAAAGTCACGAGAGGGGTGAGAAGAAAAACTGTAACCTAGGAGAGTCACCCTCAGCCGGGTAACTGAACCCTCTCCGCGGGGCTATCCTCCGTCTTGAACGAAATCTTTCAAAAGCTGTAAGCGTCTGTCGCCTATTACAACAATCCGTGGCTTGCTCTGGAGCTCACCCACCACTCAGCTTCTGTGCCTTCCTGTGGGTTTTCCTTTCCTTTTCTTTTTCTTTTCTTGGAAATATTTAGTGAATTTGCTCAAATGAAAGAAGTGTAAGTGAAACAGAAATGAAAAATATTAGAAATCTATATATAATAAAAAGTGAATATAAATTAGCCAAGTCCGTGGACGTATCTAATTAAACATTCATACGTACTCACTTTTTTCTTTAGATAGGGATATCACACACATATGTGACATGATTCTGGAAAAAAAATCTTAAGATACTAAAAATATTCTCAAGTCTTAAAAATGGTATGGAATATAAATCAACAACATTCTACATGAACGTAAACCCCTGACTGAATTCCGTGATTTTATCCTGCCAGAAGAATGTTTGGTTTTAATTTTTTAAACAGATATTGGTGTCGTAACACACTGGCTTATTAATAATTAAGGCATTTTGCGTACACAGTATCTCAGTGTGGACAAAAATGTTTAATATTGATTTTTGCCATGCTGTTTTTAACTTCCAGTCTTTTCAAAATAAGAAAATAGCTGCTCATTGTTACGTGCTTTTTTATAAAACATGATCTTTAAAAAAGTGGATGATGAGTGGTCTTTGTGGTTCCTGTCTTATTTTTTCACACACTGCAGATTACGTTCTTATGCGGGATGGCACTGGGACCCGGTAGTTCTTAAACGATGTCCCCAAATAACCACATAAATCCTCAGTCTTCCTAGTGCCCTCCGACCTCACTGAAGCTGCTCGTTTTGGATATTTTCCCGCTTCAATGTGAAGTAGATTGTTAGGGTTTTATTAGTGGTTTTATTACGTGCCTTTTTAAAAGGAAAAATGCTTGTGATTTCTTCCACAGTTCACAGTTCTCAAAGGAGACCTTTCTCTGTAAATAGTCCAGGGATGTTTTGAATAACCAAGTGGTCTTTAGTAGAGGAAACCCCTCAATGCAACTGTAATAAATACACATCTACATCCTTAGCTATGTTACCAGTGTATCCTGGAACCAAGGTAAGACGGGTTCCTGCTCCCATAATCCACTTAATTGTTGTTTTAAAATCTGAATATTGCCATCATTTATAATTTCTGTTTTGGATGATAGTTCTGACCATCACTTTTTATGACTGCTTAAAGCCAGTTTAAACTAACTATTACATATTCTTCAAATTTACTTGTAAGGAGTGACTTTCCTAGAGGCAACAAGTCTACATGGCAGCTGAGAGAGGTACGTTGTTTTTCTCCCTGGAAACTACCGGCGAGCACAGGAAGGCAATCTACCACAGCTCCAACCTACAAGTGCACTTAGACTTCTCTTTCTCCAGAAAGTTAAAGCTACATTCAATCTCAAATTCCTACTGAACAAAACTTGAGCCATCGTTTCATGGTCCTGAGAAACCTCAGAAAGAAACCCACTATATTTCGATGACGGACTGTCTGTGAAGAACTAGAATCACAGGAGCTGATCAAGTACGTGTGACTACCATGGCCTGATTTTTCAGACAAGTGGCCTACACAAGCCAGTTCTTTTTCTTTATGTGCCACGTCAATGCCCACACCTTGAGGGACTGTTTTTTTCTGTAACGAGGATTTGGAAAGGGATGATGAGCTTCCTTTCTGTGACAGATCACCTCAGGCAGTTTATCTGGGCTTGCAACAGCTTTTCCCCTGTTCTATTCTTATAAGCAGCCAACTGTTGGGGAGATTTCTTAATCTCCTTCATGTTCTTATTAGTGAAATTAGAGATCCTTTTTCTAGGAATATCAATGGAATGATCCCTAATATTATTACAAAAGTTCCATTTTTTAACATTGCGGGTTTCAGATGCCATAATCTCTTAAATACCGGCGCCGCGTGGTACCTGGCACTGACGCACCGCGCCGGCAGCCCACGGTGTCCCTCAGCTCCGGGCCGGGCCCCACCCAGGGCCACGTGCCTCACCTGTCCCTGTCTTAACTCCTCTGCTCTCCTGCCAGTTTTTTATTTGTAAAATCAAAACCATTTCTGGTGGAAATATTCAATCAATAACACAAAGTAACGTGTATAAATCAATCTTACTGCCTGCAATTTTTCAGATGCTAGTTGGGTTGCCTCGGGCGTAAAATATTCTCTTAGTAGAAATCCTTGTTTCTTCAGCTCTTCAATGTAATTTTCATAGTATTCGCTTGCATCCGCAGAGGTTTTCTTCACAGTGAACTGTCTTCTATGCTGTGAATTACAGTGTAAGCAAAAGTACGGTAATTATTTGCATATCTATCTTTATGGAATGCCCACGATGTACCAGACGTAGTAAAGCATTAATTAGGTCCCTGCCACGAAGAAGTTTAAAACTAGTTTTTTCAAGGAATTACTTAAATTTTCAATGCTTCACAAAATAGCCTAAAACCTGGAGGTACGAGGGGAAAAAGCTCAACAGATAGAAAAGACCTATTCAATTCATCCAGAGTCACTCAAAAGTTCGTTCAGAGCCTATAGACTCTTATTTTACAAACCATTTATGTAGCTTTGGAATCTGGCTTTCCAGCTTTTTGGAAATGAGAAACACATATCAGAGGAGAGAAGAAAAGGAAAATACCTCAGAAAGGAGATACTGCTAGAGACAGGCACTCAATCACAGCCAATTAATAGCTTCCAGCCAGGAGAAAGGTAGGAAAGGAATTAGGTTAGGGTTTAAGGGGTCCTTTGGAGAGGGACACGTTCCTCTGTCACTCCAAACAGTCTGTGGATGTGGCGTTTTCCGCTCTTCACAGAAATCCCTGCTCCTATAGTGAGCAGTTATCCTAACATGAACCCCAGAGAATATGGGAGAACTTGCCCCAGCCCTGGTGTCCTTGTAGGTGTTGGCCAAGCGCCCTGGCTTGGGGGCGTGCGGCCCCCGGGAAAGCCACACTACTCAGAACACTGACGAGCCTGCCCAGGCGGTGACTGTAGGACATCTCCGAAACTTGGAATAAAGAAGTGCGTGTTGGCCAGGCGCGGTGGCTCACGCCTGTAATCCTAGCACTCTGGGAGGCCGAGGCGGGTGGATCACTCAAGGTCAGGAGTTCGAGACCAGCCTGAGCAAGAGCGAGACGCCCCCCCCGTCTCTACCAAAAAATAGAAAGAAATGATCTGGACAACTAAAAATATATATATATAGAAAAAATTAGCTGGGCATGGTGGCGCATGCCTGTAGTCCCAGCTACTCAGGAGGCTGAGGCAGGAAGATCGCCTGAGCCCAGGAGTTGGAGGTTGCTGTGAGCTAGGATGACGCCACGGCACTCTAGCCCGGGCAACAGAGTGAGACTCTGTCTCAAAAAAAAAACCAAAAAAACAAAAAAACAAGTGCGTGTTGAGTCACTCCATTTAAGAAGCTGGAGTTTAACATAATTTTGGAAGATGTCCCTCAGAATGATTCTATTAAGGAGAAAGGCAAGCTGGAAAATCCTCTTCTGTAGAACATCCTTTCACTGCTAGTTGGATAAGGGTAATTTCTGTCAAGGTGGACAGGCTTCCCTTCTCCATAAACCAGGCTCCCCCAGGAAAAGTTCTCAGACTCAGGCTTGCTAAGGGAGGAAGGCACCAGGAGGGGATGGGTGGCCCAGGCAGCATTACAGTTTTCTTTCTGAATGAAGGAAAAAAATTATAACACATCCTATCATGATTTTCAACTTGATTTTTGCTTACTCTCTACCCAAACAACTAAATCCTCCACAGAATATAGTATACATTTCTGGGTACAAGGTTAACAAAACCCTTTCTCCTTCTTTCACACTTTTGACCCCGGATTGCCTTTCTAGTTTTGTTCCCATGGAAACCTGATAAAGCTGGGATGTCAGCTGTAATATTAGCATAATTGCTTCGGTAATAGTGACTCCTCATTGCTAAACTTCACCAGCACTGGGAGTTCATGGTGGGAGCTTTGGGCTTCTCTGAGAGGATGACACATAACTGGGTACATCCCAAAGGGCAGCTGGAACCTAGGCCAATGTACAAGAGATATGGGCTCCTGTGGGGATAGGAATTCGAAGCCCAGTGGAACTCATACCCACCTGCTGTGAGTCTCCTTCCCCTGTACCTGAGCTGACATCTGGTGTGCGGGTAAAGTGAGATGCTTCCAGAGCCCGCGTGGACCTCTGTGGGGGCCACTTCCATTCAGAAGCAACTGCGTTTCCTGGCCCACGGGAGAGCTGTAAGTCTGAACGTCTGGTCAAGAAGGCACCCTCGTAGGCATTGCACCATTTTATTTGAACTTCAGGCATTAATTCCAAATCTATTTCTGTTTGTTGACTGTTTTAGATTGGAAATGTGCTCTTGCCTTGACACTGACCTGGGGCAAAGGTCATGGCGTCTGCAAAGCCTCCCTTGCTATTCCCAGGGCCCTGTGACCCTGAGCCGTAGACACCTCACATACATTTCAGGATTGGAGCTGTCACAGTGATTTGTAATGATGCATGTGTTGCTTCCTTACAGACGGTGATTGTGGGTCAGGTTGTGAAGCATTTTTATTTTTGGGTCCTGGCCCTGGTAGATTGGTACATAGCAGGCACTGAATGAAGTAGGTCAGGGGATTGCTTTTAGAGTTGTAAACATTAGGAAAATATCCCATAAGTGACGGGGAACAAGAGAGAACAGGAATCCTACATGCCCTACACCCAGAGCGACTATTCTCTTCTGGCAGCACCCTGAGCCGCTCTACTCAGGGGCGAGGTCCTCACCTCCCATATTCCAAAACAGAACACATTTCTGTAAGGCTGGTGGCGGGCACCCCTCCCTTCCCTAAAGAAAAAAAAAGATGCCCATGAGACCCGCCCTAAAACTGGAACAAAGAACTTCCCAGTTTTCGCACCAAAAACTCTCCGCACCAAAAACCCCCATCCCCCAACTCTAAAACCTATATAAGCCCGCTGGAAACTTTCGGGCGGTGCGACTTCTCGGGGCCCCACCTCTCGGGACTGTGAACCTCGCCCGGGAGCGCTCTTTTTCCCCTTCCCCCAATAAAGCCTCGTTGCTTGCCCTTTTCACTCTGCTCGTCTTCCTTTCTCTGGCGCCGACCATCCAAAAACCCTACAGTTTCCACTTTACCAGGTGTTATGGGCTGAACTGTGCCCCCACAAATGTACATGTTCAAGTCCTAACCCCTAACACCTCAAAATGGGACTGTATTTGGTAATTAATTAAGTTAAATAAGGTCATAAGGATGGGCCCTGATCCAATACGACTGATGTCCTTATAAGAAGAGGAGATGAGGACACAGACACACACAGGGGAAGACCATGTGTGGACACAGCAAGAAGGTGGCCAGCTGCAAGCCAAGGACAGAGGCCTCAAAGAAATCAACCGTGAGGCATCTCGATCTTGGACTTCTAGCCTTCAGCACCCTAAGAAATAAACGTGTTGCTTAAGCCCTCAGGCTATGGCATTTGCTGCGCCAGCCTGAGCTAAGATACCAGGTAAGAAGAAAAAGGTTAGCGGGCTGCCTGGTTCATTGACCAACTTTAAGGAAACCAGTTATGAACAGGGGTAGATAAACACAGGAGTCGACACAAACAGCACTACCTGCATGCCGTCCGCCAGGAGGAAGTGCGCGGATATCAGAAAAGGACAGTCCCCGGAGTCCTGGGAGCACCGCAGCTCCACCACCACGGCTTCCCGGCCTCCCTCCACGTCCACCTGAAAAACGGGACGTGCTTTCAGAAGCTGCACTAGGGAAATAACGAATCACATGCGCCATTTGGAAATGCTGATTATGATTATCAAGTGATGCATGCTCTCGATACATTAGATTTATAATTTAGAAAGTACAGAAAAGTATCAAGAAGAAAATTTAAATAATGGCCGGGTGAGGTGGCTCACGCCTGTAATCCTAGCACTCTGGGAGGCTGAGGTGGGAGGATCGTTTGAGCTCAGGAGTTCAAGACTGTGTCTCAACAAAAACAAAGAAAAAGAAATCACCTAAAATCCTACTACAGATATATAATCACTATTAATATTTTGGTATTTTTCCTTCCTTTATTTTTACTATAGATATATCTGTATATGTTTATACTGTACCGTACTAGAGTTGATTTTCATTTGTGTGACTTTGTTAAAAAAAAAAAAGTTTGTTTTTCTTTTTTTTTTTTAAGACAGAGTCCCACTCTGTTGCCCTGGCTACAGTGCCGTGGCATCATCCTAGCTCACAGCAACCTCAAACTCCTGGGCTCAAGCGATCCTCCTGCCTCAGCCTCCCAAGTAGCTGGGACTACAGGCATGCGCCACCATGCCCGGCTAATTTTTTATATATATTTTTAGTAGAGACGGGGTCTCGCTCTTGCTCAGGCTGGTTTCGAACTCCTGAGCTCAAACAATCTGCCCGCCTCGGCCTCCCAGAGAGCTAGGATTACAGGTGTGAGCCACCGCACCGGCCTGTTTTTCTTTTTAATGCAAAAGGAATGGGAAATTCGACATGGTGTAAATACTTGTTAAATCTACCCTTTCCAAATACAAGAAACTGTTAATGTCAAGGAAGAGGACTACTTTTTTCTTTTTCTTTTTTTTGAAACAGAGTCCTGCTCTGTTGCCCAAGCTAGAGTGCAGTGGTGTCATCATAGCTCACTATAACTTCAAACTCCTGGGCTCAAGTGATCCTCCTGCCTCAGCCTCCCAAGTAGCTGGGACTATAGGCTCGAACCACCAAACCCAGCTAATTTTTCTATTTTTAGTAGAGACAGTGTCTCACTCTTGCTCAGGTTGGTCTCGAACTCCTGATCTCAAGCAATCTTCCTACCTCCACCTCCCAGAGTGCTGGGATTACAGGTGTGAGTCACTGCGCCCGGCCAAGGACTTTTATTTTCAGTGCCATGCTAATATGTTATACTGCTTACAGTTTTTAAACGAGCATGCATTACTTTTACAATAAAAAATTAAACATTAAATTTTAAACACCAAACTTTTCTTGACTATTAAAAATCAACTCATATTTCAAGGAATATATGATATTCAGGATATGCACAATTTTTCAAAACAATGAGAAAATGAACGGGAAAAACACTTGGAATACACTCAAACAGTTGTGGTTTTTTGCTAGATAGAAATCAGACTCTTACCTTTTCCAAGGTGTTATATTTTGCAACTTCAAAATCTTGAGGAAAATGAGGAATTTCAACATCTTCTGTACAAAACCTGAAGTGAGCGGTGTATAATTAAAATTTTTACATTAAAATGGATTTTAGGCTAAACATAAAATTTATCTTGTAGATCTCCTAATTCCTTACGAAATACATTATGAGTCTTTAAGGCCTCCTCAGGTATTCTAGAAATGGCTCAAGGGCCGTGTGCCTTTGCACAATTCCCAGCTCTGAGGGTCACGTGGCAGAGGCAGGAAGGGAACAGCGCGGCCCGGCTGCTTTCGCTCGCCTCGGGGTCCGACCCGCAGGAGCCGTGTGTCGCCTCTCTGGACCACACTCAACTCCTCTTTAAAACGAGGAGTCGGACCGCTCAGATCTGTACTTTTTATTTTGGCTTTTGTTTTCTTTAACCACTAAGCATGGAGTAAGATCGAGGGTGGTGCCTAATTAACACTGCAGTTTTGGCGCTACAAAGCCATATGTACCTACAGATTTACACACTCCATTTGAGGAAGGTTGTTATTTCCATTTTTGAAAATATCAGGTAAAGAGTAACAAACCTTTTTTTTTAAGAGACAGGGTCTCGCTCTGTCACCCAGGCTGGAGTGGGGGCACGATGACAGCTCACTGTAGCCTCAAACTCCCGGGCTCAAGCGATCCTCCCCCCTCAGCCTCCCGAAGTGCTGGGATCACAGACAAGAGCCACGACACCCACCCGAACTGTCTTTACCCTTAAAGGCTGCTCAGTAAAATCACAGAGTGAGCAGGCTGCCCAAGTCTTACTGCCAGTGGCTTTTCTTTTGTAAAATCAATTAATCTAATTACATTCAAGCTCATAATACTGAGAAGATAAAAATAATTACCACTACACTAGTTGAAGTTAAAATCTTAAATAAATAAAAACGTACTAAAGAGTTAAACAAAATAAAATACTACAAAAGTCTACGAATAGTATTTGAGTACTGTGCTCGAAGTTTACGAAACATTTTGCAAACTCTGTAGAGTCCTATGGATCAGAAGTAAGTTACTTAGTGAATTCCACAATGTTTTCCTTCTCTGAGGCATCGTCTAGGGATAGATCTTCTGTTTTCACTTCTAGGATTAAAGCAAACAAAACACTTGTTTAGTGCTCAAAGGTTTATCACAATGAGTTAACCTAACTGCTGAACTGTCAAGATTCATGGATACAGATCATATTTCCTATGGTATTCTGACTTTTTTAGCCACAGTTATTGGTAATTAAGGACAATATCAGTAAAAGAGGAAGGTGTATAAGATAGTGAGAACATATTCTAATTCCATTTTAATAGGCACATGGGGAGAATTCTAACCGGTATTATTTGCAACTCGATTTTAGAGTGGCACTTTTCTGAAGGGTATGGTAAGCATAGTTATAAATTGCATTTCTAATATACTACAGGAGCAGAATGAGTTCCTAAGAGTCCTCATGTCACAAATGAAGGAACTGGGGATGTTCTAGTTTATACAGAAGGGAAACTCAAGGGCTCTTTGTGAACTTTTGCTTCATATTTCTCTTATAGAAGAGTTGTAACACTATAGCATCATGATATAGGAATAACTCTATTAATGGAAGCGTTTCTTTCCAGTTTTAATTATACTACCAAGATTTCAAAGATCATCAGTGTATTTGCAGTAATCTTTTTTTCTCCCCCATTATCAAGACAGGAAAATATTTGCAGTAATTCTGAAACTGAATAAACAATTCTGGATGTTGAACAATATGTTTTCAGTGTGAAAGGAGTCTACTGTTTTGCCTATTTCTGTTTTAACGACCATTTTCTGAAAGCAGAAAAGTCTGATGACTGTGGCAGCATTTCTGGGTGACTGTTTGCCTGAAGAGGGTTCACGCTTCCATATTATTATGGTGTCTAACATAAGCCATATGCTTACTCCAACTTAATATATATCAGAACCGCTTGGGGTTTTTTTGTTTTTTTAAGACAGAGTCTCACTCTGTCACCCAGATAGAGTGCAGTGGTGTCATCATAGCTCACCACAACCTCAAACTCCTGGGCTCAAGTGGTCCTCCTGCCTCAGCCTCCCGAGTAGCTGGGACTACAGGTGTGCACCACCATGCCTGGCTAATTTTTCTATTTTTTGTAGAGACAGGGTCTAGCTATGTTGGTCTCGACTCCTGGCCTCAAGTGATCATCTCACCTTGGCCTCCCAAAGTGCTAGGATTAAAGGGGTGCGACACTGTGCCTGGCCCAGAACTGCTTGACTTTTGATGTGACTCATGAGGAGTTCACTTCTCTATATCCAAAGCCTTTCTTCTTGGCCAGATTCCAAAATAAAAATCTGAGTTTATAAAGTTTATAATCTGAGTTTATTTGAGAGGTCAACTTCTTTAGCGAAATGCTGGTCATAAAATTTCCAGCCATTAAATTGTGGTAATTGCAACAGTAAAAAAAAAAAAAAAAAAAGGAAAAAAAATTGTGGTAATAATTTTTTAACGCAAAGACTCCCCACCCACCCCCTGGTTAAAATGACAATCAAGTTTCCTGAGATGATTAGTGTTTTTGTGGTAATCTTGAATCTGACCACGCCACACTCAGTATTAAGAAATCTATTTCTATTGCTAAAGTAGTCTTTTGTCCCTTTCTATTTCACTGTCCATTTTCTGAGGTAGTAAGATGTCTAATTGTTTCCGTAGTATTTCTAGACAATTCTCCGTCTCTAATATATCCGACAAACCCCGAATTTATTATAGCACCTATTACACATTCAGTGCTGGCTGTGACATCCTTACCAGAACCACTTGCTGTTTGATCAGGCTGTGGTGTGATGTCCAGTGACTTCCTGGGATCATAATTCTTTACATCTAAGAGTCTCCTTTCTTGGACAGATTCCCATATAAAATCTGGGTTTGCTATATGAATGTGGTTCTTTTGGATAGAGATGTGTTGATACCGACTCAGAACATTAGCATTGTCTAGGATTATATGAGTGCACTAAGAAAAACAGAGAAGAAAAAAAGAGTCAATCCATTATGCAGTAGTAAAAACAAAATTTAAATAATTTGTATCTTTAAACTTCACCCTTAAAAATTCTTATTTTAAGGTTGTTCATAATAATTTTTCTCAGATTTGTAAAATATTTATAAATAATACAATTTCTAATTATGTAAAAATGTTAACAATCAACAATTTTTAAAGAATATTGATATGGATGTACCATAATTGGTGAACCAACCCTAGTGGTTATTTCTAGATTTTCACTATGGTAAACAATGCTGTGAGGAACATCTTCATGTACACATCTTTGTGCACTTGTTCAATTATTTCCTCAGGAGTGCAAAGGGAGGTTCAACACTTATTTTTTATTTATTTTGTTAATTTGTAATTTTATTGAGTTTTGGACAAATAGTACAGGCACATTGTAGAATACCTAAAAAGTACAATGGTAATAATGGTGTGTTAACCTCTTCCCCACTGTTGTTCCCAGTTCCTCTCCCCAGAGGCACCCGCTATATCTTGCTCCTCATGCATCCTCCCAGCACTATTCTCCACATAGACAAATGGCAGCGTACTGTAGTATCTATACTCTTCTGAACTTTTCCACTTAATTTATCTTGGTGATCATTCCTTATCATTATACAGAGCTGTCTCCTTCTTTATAATATTGGTATACACACTTTAAATGTTTATACACATTGGAAAAAAAACTTCCAAAAGGTTGCACTCAGAGTACGTGAGAGCTTTGAAAAAGGAGAGACGATGTTGGCAGTTCTCCGCCAGGAGGCAAGTGAGAAGGCACAGCAGGTACGAATTACCCACCGGTCCACAAAAATCTTGAGACAGGTGAGTGAGGGCAGCTGTATGAGGCAGGGAACTAGGGATATTCCCTCTTTGGTATTCCCTCGAGTTGAATGCACTTCACAGGACAGATGAGGCTCGCTGTGGCCAAGACCCGGGGCTGAGGTCCAGGGAGGGGCAGGCTGAGTCAGCCCCTGCATCCATCAACGAGGGGAGGGCCAGCCACAGGGGCAGACAGCCCTGGCACCTGACGCTTTTGGATTTCCACTTTTACTTCTTACAATGAGGTGGTTAAAAAAGAGGAGGTTCACCTTCATTACTTCCAAGATTTCATCCATCTGTGAAATTCTATATCTGTCAGGCCTACAGTTCATTTCAAGAGATGGAAGCTAGCTTAGCCTTTAAACAAATAGAACAAGCAGCACAAGCTACACCACAAAGATCAGTTTGCACGACACGTCTTTCTGCCCCTAGGAGCCTCGCTTATACGTCACTCCAGGGTCGACACACTGGTGAGTCACTACAGTGTGCTTTCTGCAGATGCTGTGCACTATCACTTTTCTCATTCAAGAATAGATTTGGCTGGCCTGAAATTCCTTCTATGTTTTAAAATAATAATGAGCGTATGTTATTTTTTATAGCAATAACAATAACAAGTCACTAGCACACCGTGCTTGGTCCAGACGGTGCCTTGATAAACAGCACCTAAAGCTTCTGTTTGAGTCTTTGGGGGCTGAGAAAGAAAAGTGGCACGGAGCAGCCCGAGGAATGTGAGCGAGAAATAAAAATAAAATCCTAAGCCCCCCAACTGACTGAACAGACGCCTCTCGGCCAAGGGGACTCCAGAAAAATCTTAAAACTGAGTTCCTGGCCATGACAGGCAGGAGGTCAGATACGCCTCATTGTACCCCCTCCCTTGCTAACCAGAAACTAAGGGCCACACGGAAACCAGCCCTTTGGAAAGGCTTACTTCACTCTGAACTCAACCACCCTCCTGCCTGCCCCTCCCTTTCTGTGGTCTCCACAAACAGATGACCAGTGTTCCTCCTTGATATGACACCATCCACCATGGAGTGGTTCTCGTCAGTCTACTGGGGCTGTGCACAGAGGCTGAAATTCTTTGTAATTTTGTCTTTGGCTGGCTCTAATAATATCTGCTTCTTGGGGCATGTGGAATGATTGTCCTGCAGCTTGGGGAACCGCTGGGCCTCCTACACCTCTCTGGGCCCAGCCTCCCACGGGGCTGCATCAGAGATTCTCTTTCTGTGGCTCGCAGCTCACTGTCTCCTGCTGCTAATCTTCTCTGCTTTCTCTTCTAACCCAGACCCACGTTCCCTGCACGCACGATGTTTATCATGCAGCACTTTATGAGATTTGGAAATACCTGAGGATTTAAGAGAAGGGAAAGCTTTCCACCATTTTCCGTAATGTCAGTTTGTAGCTTCTTCTTCTGCTGCCGAGGTAAGGACTTGACTTTCAAACAGAAGGTACAATTTGCAAAGATGCCCACTGTCATCCTGTAGGAGAAAAAGTTTCAAGTCATAGTTTTAAGGAGTCTCTTTTAAGTAACTATAATGACAGTGAAGTTAGAATTGTTCTACATGGAAAGTGTTGGAACATTGGGCATTATTTTAAATACACTGCAATCATGTCATAGCAAAAATCGAACGCCATCCTAATTTGCAATATGTGTTGGCTTTAGAATCATTTCTAGCTTTTATGGCTAATATTATGACACCAAAAATATCTTTGTACAGCTCATAATATAAATCTTAATGAAAACATGACAGATTTCAGTTACAGATCAAGTGTGTGGCTCAAGAACATGGAAGCATTTATTTCTAATTTAAAATTGGCATTATGTGGTAGTGAAACCATGGCTTTTTATGTATAATTCTATGAATTCAAAGAGACTCACCAGTTATGTGAGTTTCTGTTAAGCCGTTCTGGAGAAGAACTGAATAACTGGTAATAAAAACATACAACTATGTTTAAGTGCGATGTGTGTGTACACACACCAGAATGCATCGGAGGTTAATTCAGTTCTTTTACTGTACCACACATTCTCACATACAGAAAAGAATTTCTTCTCAGAAAAACAAGCATATTTTGAAGTGCGATGTGTATTTAACAATAAACCAATAAATGGTGAGATGTTGGATTTAATTCCCAGTAGCTATTTGTCACTGTTTAGGGGCCGGAGAGATGTCCCACTCGGAAGCAGGCTGTGGCGATGGAGCGGTGTTCTTGGGGACAGGCTGCGGCGGCCAAGCCACCGGGGAGCCATCCTCCTGTGCTCCCCTAGCCCTACCCAGTCCCTTTGTCCTGGGGGTGCTGGGTGCTGGCACTCATTCCCCGAGGTCCCAGTTGGGGACGCAGGGCCACCTCTCCAGCCCCTCACCTCCAGTTCTGCCCCCGCCCCAGAGGGTGCCACGTCCCCAACCTAGGCGTCCCGGCTGGCTCTTGGCAATGGACTGCCGCTGTCCAGATGGCCTCCCAAGCTGCCCGGTGCCATCCTTGGCTGCGGGCACCTCCACCCGCTCCACTAGCCGCATCTCCAGCCATCGCTGCCCCGAAATACAGCCTTTATCTGTCGCTGTCCACGCCGCTGCCCCCCCGGCCCACGTCCCCGTTAGTGGAGTCCTGACTAGGCTCCAACTTCTGCACACTGTAGCTTGAGGAATCTTGTTTTTTGAAAATTACATTTCAATTAAAATACAAATTGCTTATCATGGTTCAAGGACCAGCAGGTGCGGCCAGCCTCACCCTGCCAGCTGCTCGGCCTCGCCCTCCCTGCACTCTGTCCCACTCGTCCGGGCCACAGGGCTTTTCCTTCAGGGGGTAAAACCCAAGGCTTAGTCCTCCCAGCCTTCACACATGCTGGTCCTTCTCCCTGAGACCCACAACCCACCCCACCCTGTAGCCCCCCAACCCGAGGCATAGGGCACGTGATGTCTGTCCGGTGAATAAATTCAGGGTTCACACTTTTTTCTCTTTCTTATGCGGTCTGGTTAAACTGAAGTACATTGATTTAACGCTGCCTTTCCATAACATTAACATTTACTAATTTCATATTTGTTCATTGCCCCTTACATTCAGATTGATTAATAATTAGTGTTCATTTGTAGATAGGAAAGATATTAGACCACACTGTTTAGGATAACCTATCCTATTCTTTTTGTTTTTTTTGTTTTTTTTTTTTTTTT